GAAATGTGATCTTGCATTTTTTTGCTTGCTTTAGCAGTAGATAGTGTTGCCTAGTGGCCAGGCAGAGAATACTGCTAATCTTGCTCTTTAAGCAGCAGCTTGAGTGAGAATTCTGATATGCAGATTAAGATTTTATTTATTTATTTATTTATTTATTTATTTATTTATTTATTTATTTATTTAGGAGACTTCTATGCTGCCCCATTCGCCCAAGCCTCGGGGCGGCTCACATCCATAAATAAACTCCATTAAGTAATATAAATTAACGGTATAAATTAAGTCGCCCTGGCCAAAGAATAAAATGAATAAATACTATTAACAATTAAAATGATATTTGAATAAAAAGGTCTTCGCCTGGTGCCGAAAAACAAATAACGATGGCACCAAGGAGATCAACATACCTGCTATTGCAGGGGCAGCCCTGCTAAGCAGCAGTAGCATGAAAAAACCTGTACTAGGCCAACCTTGTCATGAGGCAGAGTGAGGCAGCTGCTTCAGGCAACTGGATTAGGTTGTTTGAAAGGACAGCAAGGAATAATGCACTCTTAATGTCAGGGAAGAGGAGATACTTGTGAGATTGCTTTTCTCAGGTGTCAACATAACTTGGCAGGTATTAGGCACCTTGTCCAGAGAGGGTGGGGGATGCACCACTTGTAACCAAAATTGTTCCAACTTGTGACAGGCAACACCTGCATGGGTGGGAAAGTAGCCAGGCTTCAGGCAACAAAATGTCTTTTGGCAGCATTGATATCCTGGGATCAGCTGAACAAATGAAGACAGGACTACTTAATATGACGCTGCATAACATTAAGAAGGATGTAATCCTGCGCATGTGTGGGCAGAAAAAAAAGTTCTATAACTCTGAGTGCAGGGGGTTTTTTTCTGTCTAAGCTTGCATAGGATTGCCTCTTACAAGACTTATCCCTGTTTGTCTTTAGGCTAGGTTCTCTTGCATTCCTGAGATGGAAACACTTTTATTCAACTAAGGCTGCAGTTTTATACCCACTTACTTGGGAGTAAGCCCTACTGAACTAAATGGGATTTATTTCCAAGTAGACACACATAAGACACACATGGTAAATTAAACTGGCTGGATGAAAGCATTACTCCTCAGTATTACATTCTTCGGTACTTCTGAGCCTAATTTTAATGAACTTGCTGTGTTTCACTTGCTCCCTTGAGAGACTATTACGCAGTCAAATAACTCTTACCATTTGGCAATTATTCCTGCATGTAAAAAGCTATTCTTTGTTCAACACTGCTAAGCGACATGTAACTACAGTAGCCTCCAACCTCTCAGGTCATTATAAGAATGTTCTGTGTTCTACTGCTTTATTAGTTTAATTGTAGCTTCCCTCTGTTCATTAAAATGTAAGATGAATTTATCAACTGTACTCTTCAAACACAGTGGACTACATTAAGCAATATTAGGTACTTCCCTGTGGACCACGAAGAAAAGTTAAAGTTATATGACCTTCTAGTTTCTCCAGAACTGAACAAGATTTCATTTTTTCTTATCCTTTCTGATTTCTTATTCTTTGAAAAAAAGTCACACTACCTCATCCCCTTAAAACCAATATAATACCCATCCTAGAAGTTACCTTGACTATGCCACTGGTCTGCTTTGTGTCCTCGATCAAATCATTTAACAGTCCTCTGGGTAGGCTCTCCTGATTGATTAAATGCAGAGAGTCTCATTCCCTTGGAGGATATGCATACTATGAGAGACTGCCAAGATTAACATACTGAAATGAACTACCTTTCCACTTGATGCTCCATACAAAGAGCTAGTATCCAATGCCTTGATCTGTTGCAAATTATTAACACACTGGAGAAAGGTAGAAGTTTTGTAAGTGAGCTTGCCCAGATCAAGCACACACATTTCTTTTGATCCAGTTTAAATGTGTGCACATCATGGGCAAACTTTAAGAACCACTGGCATGAGTTGGATGGATAGTTCAGCATGGATGCTAGCTATTGCATCCTGGAATCACCAGTCATGTCTAAATAACTTTTTAAAGCATCAGTTGAGCTAAACTGGGGAGCAATGAGGTGGGATAGAGCCTCCGCGGGACAAAGCCTCCTTTTGTTCCAATCGGCGTGAGCGATGTCCAAGAGACAAGTGAGTCAAATCTATCCCACCTCTTGCATCTCCTGCATCTTGTTCAGGAGACTCAGTGTCAGGAGGAAGGGGGGGCACCCTGCCCATGCTCTTCAGGGGCAGAACATGTAGTATCTTTTCCCTCGGGGCCCTCATGGTCGGGCTGAGGTGTGGCTGTTTGCCCAAGGGGTAAAGGGTCAGGATGAGGGACGGCTACTTGTTCAGCTACTCCCAAGCCAGGTTGTGGAAGGGTCGCTTAGTCACAGGGCCTCAAGTATAAGTCCTCCTGTTCTGATGGCCGATTCTCTCTTTGGGCATTTGACTCGACTCTTTCTTTCAAGTTAGGAAAATTCACACATACATTTTTATCGCAGGGTAGTTACTATCCACCAGAGTCTCATTTCTTATCAGACACTATCTTACACACAATGCTTTTCCCAGGGAGGCTACTCTGGAGCAGCTGTGGGCCACTCATGATGCCCTATCCAATCATTTTCACACATGTGTGATTCACTGTTACGTGTGATGGCAAAGCAGTAGGAAGAACTTAGCCATATCTCCAGGGAGCACCAAGTTCCTTCCCAAAGAGAGCTCTCACACTGTTTCGAAAAGTCTGCTTCTGATGTCACAGAAGACCACGACAGGAAGCCTGAGATGCTTGAACTTCTTGTTCTTTCAGACCTGAGAAGCAGAGAAGTTTCCTTCCCTGCTCCACTATACCCAAAGTTGCACATGCTTTCTCTCTCCAATTACTCACTCATTAGCTATGTAAAACAGGCCAGACTGCAGGATGACTCAATTTCTCTTCAGGATAAGTTGTGGCACACATGTCAATTGTTCATTCAATTTGTAATTATACAAATACTTTCCTGGTCCTTAGAATCCAATAAACTTTGGACTCTTTTGCTTGCAGAAAGGTATACAGTGGTCTGATCACAGGCTGTATGCTTCCAAGATTTTTAAAAGACACACTCCAGTGGTGGAGCCTGCCATCAAAGCTGTTTGAACTACGTGACCACGGATGTCTATTCCTAGCCCCAAATTCCCCATTGCCACATTCCCATTAATCATGTACTCTCTCACAGAATCTATTACAATTGATGACTGTGCATTTTTCCTTTAGGTTAAAGTTGTATTATGACTTTCCTGTAGCAACAGTGGTGGGGTCAAAAGGGAATAGGGTGAGGAGAATAAGCTGCAGCTGCTGTGCCCTGTGCAGAAGAGGAGCTGCTGAAAAGTTAAACAAGACCAGAGAGAGAAAGAAAAAGTTAAGATGAGGGCAGCACAAACAATGGGAAAGACAAGGAAGGCAGAAAAAGAAAGAACTTTATGGCAGCTGCACTGAGAAATACTCATGAATTATCTATATGTGCATTACACGCCACAGCAGTCCATTCCTGTGCTTTTTAAAACAATCTGCAAAAATCATTAGGTAAAGCTCTTCAGGGTATTGAGAACAGCAGCAGCCTGGCAAGCCCAAGGACAGTTTTAAAAGTTGGGAAGTCTAGGAAAAGCTGCGCATAACCCCAAACTCAAATTGCTTTTGTTCTAACATTCACCTCTTCATCTTCCTTCCATCAGTGGAAGTAAGTCTTGTCTTCCCACAGACTTATCTTTCATATTAGGGTCTTCAGGGTTGTACTCACAGGTCAAGATGAGCCAAGATTCAGCCCTAGAAGCTTATTTTCCAAGATGAGAATCTGGATACAGAATTTTAACTTCATTTCACATCTCACCTTGCAAAATGCTGGTGGCAAGGTGCAAACTTCATTATTCACAGCTTTATTTTGAAAATGCAAAATTCATAGAGTACAAAATAAATCTAGCAAAAATATAATGTAAATATATATTTAAAATATGAGAAAAAGGTCTTTAAGAATGGACATCTGCTCCTTATTCCTGAAGGAATTTTATCATATTACACTAGTAATATACACGTGCCCCACATGCCAGTACATGAAGCAGGGCAACCTGAACAATTCTGGTACACCCATTGTGTGTGTGCCTGCGTGCAGAAATGGCCCCAAAATAAGATAAGGCAGCTGTCTCAATCAGTAAGTTTTGGACTTTAGTATTAGTGTAAATGTAGGCAGTGCAAACCAGAAGTTCTGTTGCATAACACCCACTCAAGTGAATGGGTTTGTGCAGATGAATTTTCCATGTTTGATGAACAGGGGGTTGCATTCAAACTGAAATTTTCACTTCAGATGCTAAAATATCCACTCAAGCCAGTTTTGAGTGTACATCACAACTCTGCCCCTCAGGTTTTGGGATATAAGAAGAGGGAAAATAAGGCATGAAATTGCAAGACAGACAGGGTTTCTGGCCTCCCCTTTGTGGTTGTTGTTTTAACACTTTAATCCACATGTTTGGAAATAAGTCCCACTAATGCGATGTACTTCCAAGTAACTGTGCATGCACAGGATTGCAGCTGTCCAAAAACAATAAACCAACCACTGCCTGAAAATTGCAGTCCAGTCACAAAACTGCTTCACAGAAGTTTAGGGGCCCTCATACTTACTTATGAAGTCAACACTTTTGTGAGCCGCAGCAGAATTATCCACAAAATTATCCATTCATATCCAGGCTCATCAATGGGAAAAGTTTATTTCCCAGTTTATCCTTGTTATCCAGTTTTCAAAAACTCATTCACCAGGCTATTCAACCCTTTCTGATCTTCCCTGAAGAGTCAAGAAATTCCCGTCTGCTTGGCATGCGTTTTGCACTGGGCGATCCACAGCTTTTCCCATGCCTCTGCCTTTTCCAGACTGACGCGCCGTTGATTTTATTATAGGAGGGCTCTCCATGGAAGAATGAGCCAATCTGTGGCTGCCTGAATCGCGCAAGAGCCGCAACTTCCCCACCTCGCCGAAGATGGGGCAAGAGGAGTAACTCGGCCGCTTTTTCCCGGGGCGTGCGCTGAGGAAAAGGAGGAGCCTTACCTGCAGATCGGTAGCAGCGAAAGGAGGAGCCGGGGCAGCTTCCCTCCTGATCCCAGGCCGAGCAGGAAGAAGAGCTCTCTGCAGAGGCACGGCCCGCCAAGCCTGAGCCGCGAAGGATCGCCTTGCGCCCGGAGCTGGGGCGCCCGAGCTGCTGCCGGCGGCGCCGCTGAGGGGCGAAGACGCCCAGATGGCTGCGGGCCGGTGGGTTGCGCTACTGCTGCTGGCGGCGGGTGCTTTGGCTCTACCTGCGGCAGGTAAGACTCTCCACGACTTTCGGCAGAGCCGATCACTGGCTGGGACAGACGGCTGGCTTGCCTGCCGAAGTGGTCTAGAAGTGGAGCACGCTCTGAATTCGGGTGGATTGAACGTGGGCTGGAAAAGTTTTCTGCCCAAGCGCGCTGCGACCCGCGCTTTGCAAACTCCTAGGGAGCGCCTGTCATTTTTCTTTCCCCACCCCCGGGTCTGCAAACGGCCCAGAACCGCCTCCATTTAATCAATTCGTTAATTAAATTAATTAGTTTTATTTAATTAATTTCTGTACCGCCCAACAGCCGAAGCTCTTTGGGCGTTCACGGAAAAGTGCATCGCAGGTACGCTTCGCTTAGTGATCGTGCTCAAGAGTGTTTAAGCCAGGTTGAAAGCGGAATACTTGAATCCAGACTTGAGTGAAGCTTGGCGAGTAGACCCATTGCAATCGGCAAGTTAGTAACGACGAATAGAGGCCCTGTTGATTTCAGTGGGCTGATTCTCTCAGCGTGACTTAGCCTGGATCCAGTTTATTGCATATTATGGGGCGGACGAGGGAAAATAAGGAAGTGAATGGCACGTCGGTTGAGATAGTCTATTTATCTAAAGTAAGTCGTACAATAAATGACTTCCATGTCTCCTTGCATGTCCTGGGCCTGAAGCGAAAGGTTACTAGAATTCGTTCATAAAACTAATATTTTTCTTGGTGTTGGCATGCCTTTGCCGTTGTTTGTGATGGTTTATTACTCCTACCTGTGCTACTGCTTTGTATGTGCTCCTTGGATTTCCCTTTTTGTTTTGTTCTGTATAGGGCAGCCTTTCAGATGTTTTGGACTGCAGCTCTGGTCCTGCTTAATTATTGGCCTGTTGGCTGAACTGATGGGATTTATTGTGCAAAACATCTGAAGGGTGCCTTGTAGGGAAGGCTGGTTTGGGGTGCTTGCCTTTCAATTGCTAAGACTGCCAGGCTTTCCAAAGAGGTAAGTCCCACTAACTTGGGACCATAATCCAGAGAGTAGAATGCACGCATGTATGAAGAAGATTCTCCATTCCGTCTTTGGAATCCTCAAGTTATCCATCACCTGGGATTCTTGTTTTCATTCATACGAATAGGAAAAAGTTGTCTTGTAAAGGCTGGGTGTGACTTGGTAGAAAGTACTTCAGAGAAGGGATTAACTTCCCAGGAAGTATACTGAGGGTTGCAGTTCTGTCTGGGAAACCACTCTTCTATATACTGCAGTGTTTTCACTTTCATATTAATTAAGGGTGTAGGTTTAAATAGGAAAAGCCCTCAGGCTAGCTGGATGTAGGACTTATTTTTGTCTAAACAGTGAGAGACAGTGTTGGACTGGGACTTGGGAAGAGTCACATTCTGGTCCCCACTTAGCTATGAAGGCCACTGGATGGTTTTGGGTGAGTTACTGACTTTCAGCCTAATCTACCCTACAGGGTTTTATCAGGATAAAATGGAGAGGAGCAAAATGTAGAGCAGGCCCACATAGCTGTGCACTGAGCTTGCTTGTTGACTCACCTTAACTAAGCTGGAAAGGTGCAGGCCTGCAGCTGGATGGGTGACCATTTGTAGAAACTTATGGAGCAGGGGTTGGACTCAATGGCCTTATAGACCCCTTCCAACTCTACTACTATTTTAAGAGAAGTATATAAGCTGCCTTCAGATCCTTGACAAGAAAAAAGGCAGTGTGTGAATATAGTAAAATAAGCACGTGTAGCATTGTACCCTAAAACATCTTTGCAATGCTGCATTGGCATCTTTAACGGGTCAAGATGCTCTCCTCACCCTGCTCCCCTGCACCATCCTCTTGTGCGTTGAATTCAGATAACCACAGTAGGTTTTCTTTGCTTTTTTTGAAGCAGCCCTTGCAACCAGTGAACAGTTCTTCCCACCTCTTTTGTGTAAATAGTTACTTAAACATAGCTCAGTCATTATGATTTTTCTTTTCTAATAGCAGCAGAACAGCCACTGTTAATGGCCTGGATAATTGCTTTTGAAAAGATTTCTACTTCTGCCAAATGGAATGGATGCTGATGCTGCAACCCTAGACTTGGTTAGGGGTAAACCACACCGAACTGGATGACCCTGCTTCTGAATAAGACTGGGAGGTTGCAGTTAGTCACGCACAGACTCTAGTGTAAAATACCATGATAAACATACCCTTGGTCTGCCGTAAACATACTCCATTTCATGTGAGAGATGATGAGGCTGAGCCCCACACAACCCATTTCATGTCATTTATTTTTGAACTAGATGTGTATACTGCTGCCCTGGAGGGCAAGTCTTGATCTAGAGGGCTTAAGTTACAGGAGGCTAGATTTTGGTTGAACATCAGGAGAAGCCTCAAGGCAATGAGAGCAGTTCAGCAATGGGCGTGATTATCTAAAAGGATGGAGGGCTCCAAGAAAAGGCTGAACACTCATTTGTTGGGACATGGTTTTATTCATTCATTTAATTTGTATTCTTGCCTTTCTACCATGAAAGATGGCACTCCAGGTGAGCATGAAGTTGAACTAGATGGCCACAATCTGTGGACTTGCATTACCTGTCATTGGCCCAGAGCGGTTACCTGATGAGTTGGTATCTCAGAGCACCATGTCAGGGCGAGTCAGGAGATGATAGAAAACTACCCAAATTAGTGCCACATGTTCATTGTGAACTTACCTGTTCCCTTAGATCAGTCTTCCCCAACCTCGGAGCCACCAGATATTTCACAGTACAACACAGAAAGCTATCCCAAATTGAATCAGACCTTGGGTCCACCTGGCCCAGTACTGTTGACAGAGACTGGCAGCTGCTTCCATGTTTTTTCTAGCTTTATCTGGAGAAGCCAGGGATTGATCCTTGGACCTTCAAGATGGAAAGCAGGTGCTCTACCACTGAGCTCTGGTCCTTTGCCTTCTCATCAGTGCCATCCATTGGTCCCCATCCATTTGATAGATATCAGATTGGGGAATGTTGAGAAGTCATCAAAGGATTTGTTTGGTATCCCTTCTCTGTCTGAAGTGTGGTGGGTTGTTACAAGAGAAATACATGGAAGCATCCCATGGCTCTCCAGGAATGTGTGCATACGTCTGGTTCTTTCCACTTAATCAGCTTCATGCTTTAAATTTACATTTGGTTTGTATAATATGGCCATTCTTCTTTGTTATGGGCAATCTGCTAGTGTTTTAGATTTTTCTGTTAACTGCAGTTGCAAAATTGATTTCCTCTTATGTGTTAAGGGAACATTTACAATGTACTGAGTTACATGGCTGAATTACAAGGCTTTATCCCAAACACCTTTGTGATATTGTAGTGGTAGCATATAGCTTTGCTAAGTTTTTTTCTTTTACCACTTTTGCTTACTACCTGTGTGCCTTAACAAAACAGCCTATGAACAACCCACAGTTCTGGTTCACATCTAACAACTCATGGTTGTTACAGTGCCTCAGTTTGCACATCATAACCATGAGTGAATTACCATGGGTTAGCATTATGTGTGAATCAGACCACTTTTGTTAGGTGCCTTATTAAGCAATTGGGAGTTTGTATAAAGTTTAAAATCCACAAAGCTTGAACCATTAGCTGTTAGTGAAGGAACCCAGGTATCAAGGGAAGAGCATATTCACTTCTGTGCAGTTGTACTTCAACATCACCAGGGCTGGCCTAAGACATTTTGCTGCTGGAGGCAGTGTAGCACATACCCCAAGTAACCAAAGCCAGACAAGTTATTTTGTCACTAAGACAAAACAATCATATGTGCTGGGCAATAAAAATACTGCACAAATAACTAACCATTTGTTGCCACTTAAATGATCCGGTATCACTTAAAGAATATGAATTCTTTTTCTAGGATACTCTGAACAGAAAAGAGTGAATTTCCCTGCTAAGCTCTGTACATGCCTTAATTTTTCAGTTTCCAAAAAAAGCTGTTATCTTACAACATGCAACTGAAGTTACTCAGAGACATCCTCTGAAGTCATCACATGGAGTCAGAAGCGCAGGAAATGGCCAACATTAACTGAGGCCCTCTTAATGCTCTGTTTGCATGGCTGGCTGTTTTGCCTTGACCCATGTTTATCAAGCTATATGTTTCTGTAAGGATTTTTGAAATTGTTATCAGCTTGCTGAGGACATCTAGGTCCTGGAACTTTGAGAGAAGCTAAATCCCCAAAGCCTTTCTTACTGATTAGAAGGACCCTCAATTAGGTTTTTTTTTTTTTTTTTGAAGTTGCAGCACATCCTGTTCCTATAAACATCTTTGTCGAACTAGAAATGGGAAAATGGTATGGAGGCTGTTCTCTGAATGAAAAAGGTGTGGCCTATTGTGGTGATTTTTCTTTTAGAGTAGGGATGGGCTTTATTGTTTGCTGCTGTCTGTGGCTGATGCTGCAGCAAAAGCATAGCTAAACATTGACTAAATACCCAGACAGCATTATGATTAAGCACTTGGACTGCTCTGCCTAAAATTCCCTAAGGATGTGACTTATATCGCTGGAAGGTTTTGGCTCTTTTCCGTCAATGCTCTAAGAATGATAAGTGAAACATAAGAGCTTTAATAACTCAGCCCAAAGTTCCTATGTTCTCTTTCCTGTACTGCAATATTGAAATTTGCCTCACACCAGTGTAGATGGCAAGGGGGGAAAGCCAATGTAAGGATGCAATTCTGGGGCCTCTTACCCTTGTCTGGGTACCACAGGATAGGTTGGAATCCCAGCTCTAAGCTTGGAAAAACATTCGAAGTCTGGACCTTGGAAGGCAGTCCTTCCACCATTGTAGCCAGTGTTGTTCTGGGCTCCAAAGAAGGAAGAGCTTCTTTGGTGGAGCTGGGGGTGGCATTCCAGGGAGAAGTGAGGTTTGGACTGAGGATGGTAGGATGGTGGAATCTTGCTCCTCCCAAGAACCCCAGCAGTACTTCAGCCTCTCCACCAGGAAGGGAAAAGCATTTAGATGGCTGAATTTGGCAGGTTTGGAGGACAAGGAGAGTGCGGCACAATACTTGCCTCCTTGCTT